GGGAAGGAAGGGAGGGAAGAAGGAAGGAAAGAGAGAAGAAAGGAAGGAGAGGATAGTGAGAGAGTGGAGGGCCTGAGAAAAGAGCTCAAGGGGCCACATCCGGCCCCCGCACCTGGTTTCGCTGATTACTGCGATATAACTGTGAATTTTTAAAATACTGTTACGTTTAATTTAGTTTTAATGTTTGCATATTTGTATAATTTAAATTGTGTGGTAATACTTTTAATGTAAGATATTTCAAGTCTCCTTCAAGAGAGATAAAGCAGGGTATAAATAAACATAAACATTATTATTCCGGCACATATTTTGTTTGCTTGTATACCAGCTCCTTCAGCCTGTTTGGAAACAGTGTTAGTGACCCCTCTTGATGCAGAAAATTCCTACTGTCAGTCTGCTGAGACTGGGAAAATTAAAAAAAAACCAATCACACTCCATTAAATGTCTGCTTTCACTTTTATGTACCAAAAAGTACATTGTTCATTAGTGTCCCCTTTACTAGGAAAGCAGTCTTACTAAAAATGCCCTTCTAACATCCCAAAATAGAAGTAGGTCATCATCGTGGCAAAACATCTCTTGTCTAGATGCCGCCCGTATTGATCACGTAAAAGGCTTTAAGAAAAAAAATGGTCCCAAAATAGCATGGAGTTGAAACACCAGAATACCTTGACTACCTTTGAGACCAAGCGCCGTGAGATCAAACGTAGAGTTCCCGTTGAAATAGCAGGAAAAAATCATACCTGAATTGATTATGTAGAAGTTTTGCAAAACTGCAAAAGGGGAGGGGGGTGAAAGTCTTTTTTAGGAAGGAAAGGTCATTCAAGTGACCAGCCTTAAGTTGGCCCCAAGTGAGGCGAGAGCTGGGAGGGCAAATGGCAGACAGTAAGAAAAGTCCTAATAGAGTCAATTTGGTCTAAGCGACATGCCCACCAATATTCATAGATGGAAAGAGGAACACATATGATCAAGTGACGCCGTAGTGTGTTTAAGATGCCCCACAAAAAACCATTAATGGGGAAGAATATATAAACTAGGAAAGGTTAAATGTTGGAAATAGCAACCTTCTTCAAGCCTCCCCTCAAAGTTATCGAAGGCTTTCATGGCCAGAATCACTGGGTTGTTGTAGGTTTTTGGGCTGTATGGCCATGTTCTAGAAGTGTTCTCTCCTGACGTTGTGCCTGCATCTATAGCAGGCATCCTCAGAGGTTGCGAAGATTGTTGGAAAATCGGGTTTATGTATCTGTGGAAGGTCCAGGGTGGGAGAAAGAACTCTCGTCTGTTGGAACTAGGTGTGAATTGGCCACCTTGATTAGCATTTGATGGCCTGACAGTTTTTAGGTGTGGCTTGTTACTCCTGGGAAATTCCTTTGCTGAGAGGTGATTAGGTGTTCCTGATTGTTTCTTGTCTGGAATTCCCTTTGTCTGAGTTTTGTTTTTTATTTACTGTTATAATTTTACAAGCATGTGGACAATTTCAACAGAAAGGAAGAAACCATGAAAATGAACAAAATCTAGCTACCAGTACTCAAAAAAACCTCTGAAATTATAACAGTAAATAAAAAACAAAATTCACACACCAGGGAACTCCAGACAAGGGGAACTCTAACACTTTTGTTTTTAAAGAAGGAATTCTAAGTATACAGCAGTTATAATATGCACATCTTTTTTGGTCAGATGACAAAGAGTACACTTTTTGCTGCTACACATGACATTTGCCAGCAAATACTTTTTTTCCCCTTTTTTCTTTTGGTTTCAGGGTTTTGGAAATTGAGGTGTGTATTAGATTTGATGGATATGGATATGGATAATTCATTTTGAATTTTGAACTCAGTTTGCAGCAACTGAAATAAGCTGAAAGCAAAGTGGGGAGTGGGAGGAGGAGACATAAACATTTTAGAAGCAATTAAAATATGTGAGATTTGGAATGCCAAATGGAGCAGTGGAGTCGGTGTCAGAAGATGCATGCAAGATCAGTCCCAATTCAGGACTTCTGGACATAAAGATATATTCCCAACAACATAGTGGTGAATCTCCCTCTTGCAATTCCAACCAGTAGGTTTGCAAGTCTCCCCTTTGTCCTGGATGCACAGACTGGGACCAGCAAGGTAGCACCTGGCTTTTTCATCATGAAATGCCCATAGGGCATTCCCCAAGTGGTTTGTGAGTCACCAGCCTCATTCAGAGGACTGAAGATGGTGTGATCCACCATTCAATGAACTTGATCCTCAGCCCACCCTTTATTATCTCCTTTGCTGTTTCTCCTCCTCTTGAGGCAAACTTTATAGTATTCCTCCACTTCTGCTTTTACCAGAGATAAAATGTTGGGAGTAGTATCCAACCAGAATCTATTCCTAGGTCCTTACAGCAAGCTGGAAAGCAAGTTACTTATTATTATGTTTAGGGGTACAGGCAGTCCCCAAGTTACAAAACAGGTTCTGTAGGTGTGTTCTTGGGCCCCCTGGTGGCTCAGCGGGTTAAACCACTGAGCTGCCAAACTTGCTGACCGAAAGGTTGGTGGTTTGAATCTGGGGAGCGGGGTGAGCTCCCGCTGTTAGGGCCAGTTTCTGCCAACCTAGCAGTTCGAAAACATGCAAATGTGAGTAGATCAATAGGTACAGCCTTGGCGGGAAGGTAACGATGTTCCATATTTGCTCTCCAGTGTTAAGAACCAAGTTAGTTCTGTGTATTGTCAAAGGCTTTCATGGCAGGAATCAATGGGTTACTTTTGTTTGCTTCCCATGCTCCGTGCATCAATGTCCTGGTATTTGAGATTTTGCTTTTTACCGTCTGCAGTAAGACACCCAAAATATTGTTCTAAGTCAAAAAGACTGAATACAAATCCCCCTGTAGTACTAAACACACAATCAAGACAGAAACTGTACAATATTCCAAGGCAATTTTTTGTCATTATATAGAAATTATGAACAGTGGGCAAGTAGACATCTCCCTTGTACTCTTAGTTAATACAGTTTGTTTTGTGATGGCCATCCATTTGCCTTCACTCTGGAGGAAGTATTGGGATGGAACTAACTTTTGAAGTCAAAGGCAGAACTAAAATACCGGGAGCTGCATTTTTCTTCTTCTTTCTACTGTATTTCTGGAACTAAAAATAAAATATTGGTTAGTTATTAATTTACACATGCTGAAGATATTCTTATTACAATTAACTTAGCAAGTAAATAGTTGGAATAAGATCTCAATGTAACAGAACATTCTCACTATCTGCTTTACAGTGTCTTATATGAATGGACATAACAAAGTGTGGAATTTTCCAAGGATGGTTTGCATATATATCCAATGCAGCAAATACTAGATAGCTCCAAATGTGACTTGATTTAAATATTCTAGGAACATAAGCAGGGTTATTTTTTCAATCATAGTATAGGTAGAGCATTATGATATTATGGCTAGTTTAAAAGCATTTAGGAAGGGGAAGATAGAATCATAGATGTGATGTTAATTGCAGTATTACTTGCAGCTTGATCAATTTGGAATTCCAAATTACCCCAAAATCCAAAATTATTCACAGGCTAAGCTCTGTTTTCTGATGGTTCAGTGTATGCACATTTCATGCACAAAATTATTTTTAAAATATTGCATGAAGATGCCTTCCAGTGTGTATATAAAGTGTATATGAAACTCGTACGAATTTTGGGTCCTATTGCCAAAATATCTCATTATATAAAGTAAAGGTATAGGTTTCCCCTCAACATTAAGTCTAGTCGATTCCGACTCTGAGGGGTGGTGCTCATCTCAATTTCTAAACTGAAGAACCGGCATTGTCCGTAGACACCTCCTAGGTCATGTGGCTGGCATGACTGCTTGAAGCACTGCTTGAACCTTCCCACCAAAGCAGTACCTGTTGATCTGCACAGATTTGCATGTTTTTGAACTGCTAGGTTGGTAGAAGCTGGGGCTAACAATGGGAGCTCACCCTTTCAAACTGACAAGTCAACAACTCAGCAACTCAGCGGTTTAGCCCGCTGCACCAACCTGACCCCCTATCTCATCATGTGCATATATGGAAATACGGGGGGAAATCCAAAATCCTAAACATGATCCCAAGCATTTTAGATAAGGGATACTCAACTTGTACTAATCAAAGCTTGCCAGATTCATCTAATTTCCCTTCAGTAAAAGTAAAGAATTTGGAAAATATGCTCATCTTTCTTCTCTATGGGATAAACAAGCAAACTAATTTCAACTTCTCCCCATTTTGGCTGGATTTCTGTAGCTATGCAGGAATGAGTAAGTTTTCCCTAAAAGTCGGGTCATTCTGAGTGTTGTCGGGGTTTTTGAAGTGAAAGCTTTCTTGGGCTGAAAACGGTGACAAGTCCTTCTTTGAAGGTAAGAGGTTAGACTTCTGACATCCCGTCAAGCTTATTTCAGAGACAAGCCAGATCAGTGTGTCTCTGCTGACGAACAGTTTCATTTATTTAAGGAGAATGGGAAAGTGAGAGAAGAGTGTGTTATCTGACATAAATGCATAAGTAACTGCTTCAGGCTGGACACAAGACTGTCTGCAATGTAAGGTAAAGAGAAAGGTTTCCCATGACATTAAGTCTAGTCGAGTCTGACTCTGGGGATGGTGCTCATCTTCATTTCTAAGCCGAAGAGCCAACGCTGTTCGTAGACACCTCCTAGATCATGTGACTGGCATGACTGCACAGAGTACCATTACCTTCCTGCTGAAGCAGTACCTATTGATATACTTACATTTGCATGTTTTCGAACTACTAGGTTGGCAGAAGCTGAGGCTAACAGTGGGAGCTCACCCCGTCCCACAGATTTGAACCACCAACCTTCTGGTCAGCAAGTTCTGCAGCTTAGCAGTTTAACCCACTACAGAGAAACATACAAAAAAAATATTGTTTGCTGTTTGGAGTTCCCCTGTTTCTGAGTGGCGTTCTTTATTTATTGTCTTGATTTTGCTGTGGTATGAAATGATTTAGATTTTAATTTGTTTTAATTAGATATTTCTCTCTCTTATTTCTTTCCTGCAGATGCAACACAAATGAATAATGTGGTGCCAGTGTCGCCCCTTCTCCCTCAGCTGACGCACCCCCACTCATACCCAAACATGGGACAGATTACGAATCCATATGAACAGCAGCCACCGGGAAAGGAGCTCAACAAGTACGCATCCTTGAAAGCAGTAGGTAAGCAAATGAACAAGCAAATCCCTGTTACCCAATCTTATCAGCAAGCTTAATATCACGGTGCTTGTTTCATAGTCTGAATGATAAGAATGATTATGATGAACAAGTTTGCTGGGTACTGGGCGAGAAAGAAATTCAAAATCCAAGGAATTATGAGGATATTGATTAATTAATCAGTTGAATAATTATGATGTGAAAAGCACATTATCTACTACCATATTTCATTGCCATGACATATAATAGTCACACACCCATTTTTGAGTTTTAAAAAATGAGAATTTTTGTTCTCCTCACATAATAGTCGCACCCCCATTTTGGGCTGATTTTCCCTTCCTTAATAATAATATACTTTATTTATATTCCACTCTATCTCCCAGAGTGGGCTCAGAGTGGATTAGAGTACATATATGGCAAACATTCGATGCCATTATACCAGTAGTTCCCAACCTGTGATCTATGGACCAAGAGTGGTCTGCAAAAACTATAATATGGTCCTCAGCCTCACCGTTACTACACTGTTGTAACTAGAGTGACTGGTCTCGCAAAACACTCTTATAGTGCTGAGGCTTATTAAATATGGTTTTCTGTGGGCGAGCAGATGGCGACTACTGGGTAGCATATGTTCTGTATCGGAAACTACAGCTGATGTGGTCTATCCAATGCAATTTTCTGAATCAACACCCCAAATAACCAAACCGAATCTAGAGTTGACCAAAAACTGATTGGTACCCCTTTTGGTACTAATGTTGGAGAGTGGTCCTGGTCAAGTGGTCCCTGGTCAAAAAAAGGTTGGGAACCTCTGCATTATGCAATTAACAACAAAGACAAACAGTACATAGACAGAAGCAAGGCTTCCTTCTTTTCCATCTCTGGCATCTGGAGACTATGCTTGACTTGGCCATGGGAAGATGAGGTTGTTCCATTTTTCAACACTGAGGAGCCTGTTGTCCATGGACGCCTTTGTGATCGAATTGCCAGCATGTCTCTAGGGGCGCCATTTACCTCTCTGTTAAAGCGGTACCTATTTATCTACTCACATTGCTGTTTTCAAACGGCTGGGTAAGCAGAAGCTAGGGCTGATGGTAGGAGCTCACTTCGACCTGCGGTTTGAACGGCAAACCTTCCGGTCAGCAAGATTTTCTGTAGCTAGCAGTTTAAGCCGTGGCCCCTATATTTTTCCTTTCTCTGAAGGCAAAGCAGTTTAAAAACTACAAAATCGAGGTCTCTGAAGCTCCTCCCTCCCTCCCTTGTGGTACTGCAGTTTACAAAACCTGGAATTAAGTTATTTGGATAAAGGAGGGAAGATCTGAGTTCCATTTCCGAGAGATCTCCATTTCCAGTTTTTAAACTGCCCTGCTTTGGAGTAAGAAGAAAGAAGAGTGGAGCTTCAGATACCTCCATTTTATACTTCAGAGAAAGAAGGAAGGGAGAATCAACCCCTGATGGCTCTGTAGTTTGAAAGAACAAGCAAACAGAAACATAGAGGTTTATTTGAAGCTGGATCATCCTTCTCCTCCTTTTTTGGAGGTAATGCATTTTAAAAAAATAAACAACAGAAACTAGAGAATAAAGGCAATTTCCTTGCATAATAGTCGCACCTCTATTTTTTTTAAAATGTATGACTTATGTGATGAAATATAGTAGCTGGCATGTCAGAAAATCCATCATTACACATATCTTTTTTTAACATTGAATTTACAAAAATGCCCTCCAAATCATATTCAAGATTGGAAAGAACTGAATCCGTTTCGCTTTCCAGGTCCAATTAACTTTGATTGCACCCACGATTGTGGTACTGAATCACAGTGGACATAATTCATTTTTCAATGTTTAATGGCCCAGAAATCGGACATGAGCAGAGAATAGATGTATCTGTTCAGTCTGGCCATTGGTGGTTGGTTAGTTCAGCTTCAATAGAAATTTGAGCAAGTTTGCAAATATATTCAAATGAAAAAGAATGTGAGCGCGTTGACAAAAAACTGAATGTGAAAGAAAGCAAAACTGTCAGATATTTCTGTTCTTAGTCATTAAACCATTTCTTTTTTGACATACTGGATTAAAGGCACAATTGGAAATATCTACCATGCCTGTGCTAGCTATTAGAGGTTGCCTAATAATATTTATATTTATTTAATTTATAACATTGGGCAATCCAGTTTAATATATAGAAAACTGGCTGGAAATGGAGATTGAACCTCTGATCTTATACTATATGGTTTCTTTTTTTCCTTTACCAAATCAAAAGAGGTAAAAAAATGGATAAAAGAAAAACAAAAGTTGAAAAAATTAGGATTTTCTGAGAACGGCACTCTACTAGATCCATTAGGCATGTGTAAAAAATCAGAAGTTTCAGAAATCATAAGAAAATTGGAAGTTTTGTAAGTTGGAAGACATATTTGAAGCGTTCGCGTGGCCCACATCAATATTTTAGAATCGAAACTTACTTCATACTTTTTCATTTTAGTTTTGTAAATCTCAGAGGGTTCTCAAAGTCAGTTTCACATTCAGCACAAGGCAAGGGAGCAAAGCCAAAGGCTGCCTGTGTGCCTTACTATTTCTCTATGAAATTAATGCAGTCTCGGCATTATCAGCAGGCAAAAGATGAAGCAGTGCATTTTGGGAACAGCACAGAACTCTGGGGAATGTAGTTTGGGAAGGGAGGAGCCCTATTCCAGAGAATTCAAAAGGCCCTGCCCTAAACTACATTTCCCAGACTGCATCAGCATCAGAAAGGTCTTTACTTTGAACTACTTTCAACACAATTAAACAGGAAATAACATTTTCAAAGTAGGAACATATTTTCTTTATGTTGTTTAAAAAAAATCAAAAATTTGCCAAAAATCCATGGATAATGTTCTGAAATTTTGTGGGCCAACAGTGGTAAATGTGTTCTACCATTGTAGCAAGTTTCACCCCAATAGCTTTTAAAATGAGGGAAACAGGAGCCTCTGAAATGTCCCCAATTATAGTCATTTAATTATGTGCAATTACTATAACGAAATAGTAATGGAGTTTCGTTACTTTCATTATAGTAACTAAATTTTCACTAAGTATACTTTAGAAACACTTTAGAAACAAAGCGCCAGCACCCCCCAGTTTTGTAATTATTTTTGAATCATTTTTTAAATAGATCACACATCCCTGAGATCCATATTCAACTATGCATTTTAGTTTACACTATAGCTCCAGTAAGCCTTTTTGTTCGAGATAAATTTCAATGTGTATCAAAGTTTGGTTAGCATATGGAAAATTCCCAAAAGCTTTAAATACATGTTTACATAGCTCAACTTTCTCCGTTGCCTCAAAATAGATACGCATATTTAGTAGGAAAGTACTATCCAATGAAAGCTCTATCAATATACGTACAACTCTGTAGACGTAATGATGGCATGTGTGACAACAGCATCCAGATAACAATGTAGCAACTGAGATGCAAAATACATATGGGTAGTATTAGATCCATACTCACATATGCTGTCACATGACATGTTTTGGAGCATGTCTCAGTTTGCCGCTGTTAAGTCATTTGAAGTTGTTCGCTAGCACTCTTTTTCCTGAGTTGCCTTTTGGTATTTCCTCCCTCTAAAACAACCATCAACAGAAAGTGGTGAACCAAGAGCCATAGAAGTGAATCTGTCAGGTTCTTTTCTGTCATATTTTACTTATTTAAGTTCTTCCCACCAATTTATGAGATTAAAGAAATATAAAACTGTCAAGAAAGCATCTATCCACTATCAGTCAACCTGAAGAGAAACAACACATTTCAGGTATAACCAGTTTAAACCAATGTGTTATTTTTGCTAAGAGGTGGGCACACTACTATTTCCTCCAATCAGATACTGGTTTCTGTGGACATTGACAGGAGAGGGGATAAAACTGTGGACAGTAACATATCCTGGTCAACTTGGCTTCGCATCAGAAATCAGCATGGACCATAGCAACACCTGGTTTGAAACCAGTTCATGTGAAAGGGACCTAGGAGTCTCAGGACATCATCACATGCAATAAAATCAGTGTTCCTACACATTTAAGAAACTGCTACCGACTGACCCCATCTCATAACGCAAGCTCGTACCATAGGTTCCAGGTATTTTGCTGTTTCTAAAGTGTTGTTTTTTCCCCTATGCTTGCTAAGTCAGTTGGCAATTTTAAATTCCCCATGTAAAAACGTCAAATTTAACACATGATGGGTATTTCCATCATGTAAACATAGCGATGATGTTGTTCTGGACGCAGAAACGGAAATGGGTCGTAAAATTCCTTTCTTCCGCCATAATATTTTTGGGACTGAGGAGGAAGGAATGGTTATTTATATCTTTTTGTTATCAATGTAAATTCACTAGAGTTATCTTTTGAATCGAGAGGCATCTGTATAAAGATACATTATCATATAGAATAATATAGAATTGAAGAAATGCCATTTAATGATTTCATATTCAAAAGTACTTCTGCGAAAACAAATACAGAGGATTTTTTCAAGTAAAAGAAAATGGGGAGGAGACAGTGGGAGGAGAAATATGTCTCCCATGTGATGGGAAGGCAAATGGATGATAATTTGAAAAAAAAGCTGAAATAATAATAATTATTATTATTATTATTAAGAGCCCCTGGTGGCGCAGTGGGTTAAAGCACTGAGCTGCTGAGCTTGTTGATCGAAAGGTCGCAGGTTCGATTCCGGGGAGCGGCGTGAGCTTCTGCTGTCAGCCCTAGCTTCTGCCAGCCTAGCAGTTCGAAAACATGCAAATGTGAGTAGATCAATAGGTACCGTTCCGACGGAAGGTAAGGGCGCTCCATGCAATCATGCCGGCCACATGACCTTGGAGGTGTCTACGGACAATGCCGGCTCTTCGGCTTAGAAATGGAGATGAGCACCACACCCCAGAGTCAGACATGACTGGACTTAATGTCAGGGGACAACCTTTACCTTTTTAATTATTATTATTATTATTTATTTATTTATTTATTTATATTCCGCTCTATCTCCCCAAAGGGGTTCAGAGCAGATTACAACATACACAGATAGGCAAACATTCAGTGCCTTTATTACAGTGAAATAACAATGACACACAAATACACAGAACAAAGGGAAAGGCTTCCCCTTTCATCTCCGGCTTCTGGAGGCGGTGCCCAACTCTGGCCATGGGGAGGTGCTCTTGTTCCATTTCCAAGCCTAAGAGCCTGTTGTCCATAGACACCTTCTGGTCATGTTGCTGGCATGGCTGCATGAGTGCCTTTATTACCTTCCCGCCAAAGTGGTTCCAATTTATCTACTCACATTTGCACATTTGCATGTTTTCGAACTGCTAGTTTGGCAGGAGCTGGAGCTAACAGCGGGACCTCACCCTGACCTGTGGCTTCGAATTACCAACCTTCAGGTCAGCAGTTCATCAGCAAAAGGGTTTAACCCATTGAGCCAACCACAGTCCTACTATGAAGGAAAACATGTGATGGGGGTAGGAAAATCATTTGTTTAATTTCCAATTAAGGGGAAAACAATGATCTCCAACATTTTACTTATTGCGTGGGATGAAGTCCCAAGTAGACAACAAGCTGGATATGACTCAACAGTGTGATGCGGCAACTAAAAAAGCCAGTTGTATTCTAGGCTACATCGATAGGAATATAGTATTGAAAACTTTGGGGTCTGTCTCTGGCTGCATGGCCCTGTGATTCGATGATAGCATTTGGGCAAGTCTAACAGCCAATCCCGCTATACCACTCCTAGAGAGGCAATTTAGACCAGTGCAGTCCAGGGAAATCCCAAAGAGACATGAGTCAAGGCTGCGTTCTTTTCTTATTAGAGAGAGGGTTGTGGGAATTTAAGCTTTACAGTTCATGCAGAAAAGTGCTGAAAGTGGTTTCTGCTGCATAAATTATTCTCTTTTTTCCGATTCATCGAGCTTGTTTTTCACTCCCCTGCTTAAAGGGGCCACTGCTCACTCAGGCCCCGGTTGCATGAACAGAGGGGTTGTGTACCTGGGACTCCCTTCACCAGAGAGAAGACTATTTGATGGACTCTGCACATCATTTTGACATTTTGATTGCATAAGCATGTCAACTTTGATTTATCCTCAGCCATTAGAATTAATGCCGCATTGAAATTCAAGGCCAGGTGGTTGCTTTCACAAAAACAAACAAACAAACAAACAATTAACCCCTAGCAAAATATGCACCTTTAGAAGCCGCAACACTGGGGCAAGATGTTTATTCCCTTTTCTTTGCGATGATATGTTGTCGGCAAATCAAAGGGAAACACACAATTTTGCAAAAGTTTCCTAGAACTCCTTTTTAATATAAAAAGTGAAAAATGAGAAGGAAACAAAGGGTGCAGTAGCCATTGTTTATCTCTATGACTGCAAAAGAAATATGGAAACGCAGACATTTTGGCTTGGCATGCAGAAGGTTCAAAACCACAGATAATTTCTTTTTTCGGCAACTTGCTTTTTTTCTTCTTCTTTTTGGCCTGTTCCTGGGGTTATTTGAGGCTGATTCAGAAAATGGCATTGGAGAGACTGCATCAGCTCTAGTTTCTTAGATACGGTTATCATGGTTTTCAATGGATGAGCAGATGGCGACTGGTAGATGGCATATGTTCTGTATCTCAAATGCTAGGACTGAGAGGGGGAAACTGGTGCCAGTTTTGAAACAGGCAGGTCAGATATACCCAGAAACAGGGCAGTAAGAGGTGTGTGTTGGCTAATGTAAATACTAGGTATAGTCAGCCTCTAGATCAGTGGTTCCCAGCCTGTGGTCTGCAGACCACCAGTGGTCTGTGAGAACTAAAATATGGTCCGCGAAGCAAAGAGTTCATAAATTTGGCTACCTGTATTAAAAAACACTAGAATCAAGACAGGGTGTAAGGAAACCACCCAGACAAAGGATGCCTCCAAGCAACAAACAATTCAAAAGGAACAAACGCCAGGCTACTTTCAAGGTTACTAATTGCACCCTTCACACTAGTTTAACAGACATTAATTCTTTCCTCCCACACTAGACATTATTCCACAGGTATATTACATACTTCATTTGCTTGACCACCATCAGAGCCTCTGAAAATGCTAGCCACAGATGCAGGCGAAACGTCTGTTAGAATAGCCGGGAAGCCACATAACACCCCAACCCAATCATGACTCATATGGCACCTTACCCTAATAGGTGACACAGTGATATCAACGTCAGTTGTACAATAAAACAAGCTGGCATACAAGACTGGGCAATTGACTTAGGGTTTTTTTGGTTAGAAGTTCCATGTCAGAATTGGAAGGTGCTTCACAACAATGATGATGACGACAATAATGAAAATAATGATGATGATGAATGTTTTACCTGCCTCCCTGTGGCTTGAGGCAGGGTGCAGTATCATTAAAACAAGAGATAAAATGAAAGGGTGTCATGTGGTTTCCGGGCTAATAATAATAACAACAACAACAACAACAACAACAACACTTTATTTTTATTCCGCCCTTCTCCCCAGGGGACAGAGCGGATAACAGTATGTAAGTTGACACAGGCAAACATTCAATGGCTTGTTACAATGACATACAATAAGACACAAACACACAGACATAGGCAAAGGCTTCCCCTTTCATCTCTGGCTCTGGAGGCAATGCTCTTTCTCCATTTCCAAGCTAAGGAACCTGTTTGGTTGGCAGGAGCTAGGGCTAACAGCAGAAGCTCACCTCATCCTGTGGATTCAAACTGCCAGCCTTCAGATGAGCAGTTCAGCAGCACAAGGGTTTAATCCACTGTGCCACCACAGTCCCTGTATGCGGGCTGTATGGCCAATGTATTCTAGCAGGATCCTCTCAAGATACTAGTAGACACAGAAGCAGGTGAAACGTCAGCAGAGAATGCTGCTAAAACACATTGACCATACAGCCCGCACCCACTGATTCCAGCTGTGAAAGACTTTGACAGCACATCCCCTTCCAATTGTACACTTCAACCCGTATTTCTACCTGTGTCATGGACCCTATGTTCAGCTCACTACTCTTCCCCTTTTCTCAACAGCAGACAAGGGCAGTGAGGACTTCTACTCCAAGCGACGGCACCTTGCAGAGCTGGCTTCCAAGGGAACGCTGCCACTGCACCCGGTGTGTGTGGAGGAGGACCGGCCGTACGTCCTGGAAGGCGGCACCATGAAACACAACGGGCAGCGGCCCAAGGCGGCCAAGCCCCACATGCACCCCCTGGCCTACAAAACCTGGGACCCTAGCGACCAGTCCCTGCGACAGCACGCCTATGCAACCAAGGGGAGAAACCTTGCAGGGGACCCGTCCGTGGGCGACCCGTTGACAACACGGAGCCAGCACTACTTGCCCACACAGCCCTACTTCATCACCAACAGCAAGACAGAGGTGACTGTGTGAGATTCCTCCTCCCTAATTTTCTTCCTCTCTTTTTTAAAAGATGTGGGAGGGAAAACCAACACAACTGTGGAAGAGGCTATACAAGAAAACAAGTAATTCATTAAAAATAACCCAGACAGGAGAGGCGGATATATTAAGGGCAAGGAACACAAATGAGGTAGCAAACCGCAAATCACAGGAGTGGGAAAGGTTAGCGCTATACACAGCAATACATCGAAGGTTGTCCGAACTCTGAATTTTACACTGGGACCAAAACCTTGCAATCGTTCTCTTGCATTTCCTTCCTGCCTTTCCCAAATTAAAATCCATGATGAGAAGTAGCACAATGTAGAGTCACCGCCCATCCACTTAAGAACTTTGTACGGTGTGCTGGCCTTGAAGGAGTCAGGGACACAGAGACCAAGTCCATATGTACTGGGGGGAAATGGCACTGTTAGGAATGCTGAAAATGCTTCAGGAGGAAGGAGCTGAAATGAGCAAACACCTTGGCTGAAATCCTCACGTTTCGTATCACGTTTCTGTACCATGGCTCACCAAGCAAGCAAAAAACAAAAACAACAACAACATTCTACACAACACACACCAGTTGAACCTGAAAGACTTGTGTGCAAAACTTGCAGAGACTGTTACAAAAATATGAGACTTTCTAGGTTGTAGAAAGCTTTGGAAAGGTTGGGTTTTCTTTCAGTTTTATAGCATTTTTTTCCAGAACCTGTGCCGAAGAAGGAAAAAAATGGAAGAAGAACGCCACAGGTCAGGAATTCACCACTGAATGGAATTGTTCCTTTTCACAGCTGTTGCACCACTGTTTCTTTTTTCTTTTCCTTGCTCAATTTTCTTTGGACTGAGAACAAATAAGTGTGGGTGGTGCCTTTACCGTATTACTAATGTTCAATGCTAGTCTTGTTTTTAAGTAAAATCTGTATCAATTTCAGATTCTTTCATGTTTGAGGCACTAGGGTCCTGTTAGGTTTTTTCCACTCATTTTGATGATATACAACACAATTTTCATGTTTCACCGGTATGTTGTATTTTGCAGACCCTAGGAGTGGCTGTCTGTTCTTGATTCTTCTGTGAAACTGATGTACCCTGCCTCAAATTGCCCTTTCCTTGTTTGCATTTATGCAAGTGTAAATTGTTTCGAATTTGTTTCTCTCTATCTCTCTCTGTTATCGTTGATCCTATTTTGCAGGTCCACATGATTAAAAAACCCTGGCTTTTGGAAAATTAGATTTGATGAAAGTTGTTGAATAACATTCCAGACAAAAAAAAAGGTTTGTTTGCTCAAAAGTGCTGTTTTGGAAGGATGTTGTCTTGGTCAATCTGACACTTTTTGGAGAAATTATGTAAGAGCCCTGTGTAATTGCCACCCGTTTCTATGGCATGTTGGTCTAAAGTCTATTTACACCTGGGGCAGTGTCTACCAAAAACCATAACCTTGGTCTCGGAATAATTCATTGACAGATGTTCCTCTTGGCAGTAGGTATTGAAGATCTTCAGGATTTTTAAGACCCAACTGAGAGAGTGAGATGAGCACTAGATCATCTACATACATCAGGGTGAAAACCTTTCTGTTCCTGATTACTGGTGAAGGAGAGTCAATTTTAGCTAAACAAGGCACTAAATCATTCATATAGATGTTAAAAAGAGTGGGGCAGTAAGCACCTTCTATCTTCCTCCCAAAACAATAATAATAAACTTTATTTGTACCCCGCCCTATCTCCCCAAGCGACTTGGGGCGGCTCACAACATGAAAACATACAACACAATACATAAAAATAAAAATAAATAAATAATAATACATCAATCAATATAAAGCAAACAAGACAAACCAAAACACAAGTAAACAACAATTCACAATAAAAATTAAAAAGTGTAAACATTGGTTTTAAAAACCCTACTACCGGATGTGAGGTATATCCATGTCCATATAATACAGAGGCCAAAAAAAGGGATATGGGCACATACATAAATGGTAAGGACTAAACGTCTGGGGACACAATAAACCAGAAAGTCCTCAAGTTAATCCCAGTACATCAAATGCATTACATTAACTAACAAGGATGATAACAACTGACTAACTGACCTTCTTGTGGCACACTCAGGGGCGGCTCAACCCATTACGCAAAGTAAGCATTTGCAGTATAGTTTTGCCTAGGGGCACTCTTGAGGCGCTCTTGGGGGAAAATGGACCTTGACATATGCGAGTTGTAGTTACTGAGATGTATAGCTCACCTACAATCAAAGAGCATTCTGAACTCCACTAATGATGGAATTGAACCAAATATGGCACACAGAACTCCCACGACGAACAGAAAATATATATCAGTGATTGTGGGGGGGGGGGGGCAAAATACTGTTTGCTTACCGTTGAAAATTACCTAGGGCCGCCTCTGGGCACACTACACGCACTGCAACTGGCACAGGAATGTGTTGCGACACACAGTTTGGAAAGCTTTGCTCTTAACATCGTTGCAGAATGCCTTTGCAAATATCTTTAAATGACTTTAAAATAACCAAAAGACACCCCTTGCTACAGCAACCCAACAACTGCTGTTACCACTCATTACTTTTGAATTCTGACCAAAGTCGGGCTGTTAACTTCCTGCCGCTGGGAAATTGTAAGATACAACCTGAAACTCTGATTTGGTTAAAGAGTCTAGATAATATTCCCTTTCCTTACAGCTGCCAAGAGAGAGAAATCAATCTCGCCAAACATCTAAAGCCATTGCTTACTGAGGGCTTTTAAAAACTTGAAATGAAAACATGAGAAGAGGCTAAGGACAATTGGTTGTTCACCTTTGTGTGCACTAATGAAATGATCTAAACACAAAAAAGGAAAAACACTTTAGCTTTTAAGATGACGATGAAGGATAGTGACAAGGGCTGCAAATCCACTGAATTCAATCTTGCTTCCCAAAGGTAGGTAGGTAGGTAGGTGTGTGTGTGTTTGTGTGTAAAATTACACTGCAAGCCAGTGTCTTTGGTCTGAATCTTGCTTCTTCAATTGGATGGAGCCCAGAGCTTGGAAAGTGTTTTGAAGTACAACTTTGGGAAGATTGCTCCAAATAGTAACCAATAAGTTCTGCTATTTATTTTTCAGTGGAAGAATACACAATTTGCATGCAGATAATGCCATGTTCATTCTTGGAGTTGTCATCAAAGGATCAAAGATTTTCTGTGCTCCTCATTTCTCATTGTTTTGGAACTATATGTTTGCCATATTCGAACGTGCTCAAACTGATTTCAATCGGACTCAGTTTGGCCCAGATCCTGTCCACCAGTTTTCCACAAAACTTAGAGAAGTATTTATGGGAAAAGGAAATGTGTGCTCACCTTCAAATGTTTTCATGATTAGTTGCTTTCATTTAAAAAAATACAAGAAGAGTTATGGTTATTAAACCCTCTGGCCACCAATTTCTAGTTACAACCAATGGTGCTGCATGCACCATTTTATGAGCATCTTGAAGAAAATGGCAACTGGGAGGCATCAGCATCAATGGCCTATTAGTAAAGAAAATGATTCTGCAAACCATGCGTAGTGACCAATTTCAAATCTGAGCATTTCTAGACCTCAGTGTTTAACATGTGTTGAAAGCACTCCCATATTTGTAACCTACTTAATCCGAGTTCTTTTTTATATACTATAGATGTGATCTATTATAATAATATACTTTATTTATATTCCGCTCTATCTCCCTGACAGGACTCAAAGCAGCTTACAGAATACATATACGGCAAACATTCCTTGCCATTATGCAATTAACAACAAAGACAGATAGTACATAGACAGAGGCAAGGCTTCCCTCTTTTTCATCTCTGGCATCTGGAGGCTGTGCTTAACTTGGCCATGGGGAGGGGTGGTTGTTCCATTTTTCCATGTCAAGGAGCCTATTTTCCGTGGACGCCTTCCTGATATAACTTCCGGCATGTTTTCTGGGGCGCCTTTTACCTTCCTGCCAAGGCAGTACCTAGTTATCTATTCACATTGCTGTTTTCAAACTGCTACGTAAGCAGAAGCTAGGGCTGACAGCAGGAGCTCACCTCGACCCATAGCTTGAACTGCCAACTTTCCAGTCAGCAAGATTTTCTGTAGCTGGCAGTTTAATCCACTGTGCTAGCTGTGACCCCTTTACATACACAGTTCTATCTAACAGTATTAAGAGGGCACTTTAGGTAACCTTCTTTTGAGCTGCAAACATTTCCTTTCATCTCACCCTACCATTTGACATTTTATGCCTCTCCTTATATATTGTACATCAAATTATCACTTTTTTACTGTTTTCACACTCATCAAAACCCTGTCTTATAGGAATTAAGTGGCTAGACGCCAACATATTGAATACTTTGGATGAATAGTACCTTTTTGCAACAGAAAAGGACACCCTGTAACTTCAGTTTTAAAGCTGTGCATTAAATATAAAAATATTTCTTTGGTACAAGGAGAAAGAAATTATGCAGCAGCGAGCCCCATTTACTTCTATTGGGTATACAAAGCCTCTGTCAGTGGCAAGGAGCTCTTTTCTAATATCTTTACCACCTGTTTGCTCGTTGGACCTGAACGTTTCTCTGAAACTCATTGCTGCACAGCAACGTGAGGATGTTTTCTTAGAAATATTCCTAGCAAACATATTTGTTCTTCTAGTGCAGACCTTGGGAAGGTTACATTTTTTGACAACTTTCTTACAATAGCCAGCCACTTCATCACATTGAACCAGGTCAAGTGTTTGGTAGAGTATGTTTATCATAGTGCTCAGTCATACTCGGTTTTGAGATGAAAGGGATGATTTTCCTACCTTCATCACACTACTACTGTTAAATCTATAAGTTACTCAGTGGTACCCAGTAGTTTTCAGCTGATTTGCCATCACACAGTAGAGATTAGAGTGAGTGAACTACAACTCCCAAAATCGTGGTTCAATCTCCCCAAACTCTGCTAGTTTTCATAGTTGGCCACATTGGGTTTTTTGTGCCAAGTGTAGTCCAGATCTGTCATTGCTGGGGTTCAGAGGGCTCTCAGGATAAGGGTGAACTCCAACTCCCATATTCCAAGGTCAATCACCCCCAAACACCGCCTGTATTCACAGCTGACTATGTTGGGTCTGTATTCCAAGTTTAGTCCAGATCTAGCGTGGGCTGGGTTCAGTGCTCTCTGGATTTTTGGGAGTTATAACTCCCAAAAATCAAGGTCAATTCCCTCCCCCCCCCACACACACAGACACACAAACCCCTGCTGTATGTTCAGTTGGTCATGGGGGTTCTCTGTGCCTAGTTTGGTTCCAGTCAATTGTCGGTGGAGGTCACAGTATCTCTGGATACAGGTGAACTATAACTCCCAAAAATCAAGGTCAATCCCCCCTCCCCCCCCAAAAAAAACCCTGTAGTACATTCAGTTGGTCATGGGGGTTCTCTGTGCCTAGTTTGGTCTCGGTCCATTGTCGGTGGAGGTCACAGTATCTCTGGATACTGGTGAACTGTAACTCCCCAAAATCAAGGTCAACCCCCCCCCCCTCAAAACCCCTGCAGTGTATTCAGTTGGTTATGGGGGTTCTTTGCGCCTAGTTTGGTTCCACTCTATTGTTAGTGGAGATCACAGTATCTCTGGATCCAGGTGAACCACAATTCCCAAAAATCAAGGTCAATTCCCCCCAAACCTCTGCAGCATGTTTAGTTGGTCAGGGGACTTCTCTGTGCCAAGTTTAGTCCAGTTTAGTCTACCCTACACTTGAACCTAACCTGATGTGATGGACACAGTGAGTTACCACTTCTGAAGTGTGGGAATCAGTGGAATTTAATAAACGTGTTGAAGTGGCAGATGCTAGAAGAGTTTCAGGGCCCCAAAAAGGTACCTTTCCCTAAGTTTTGGTTTAGTTCACTTAGATATATCTCTATTGTGTGGCAGTGACTCTCCAGGATTTTTGGAGTTTGTTAGACAGAGGAAAGTAGAGGCCAAGCATAGTCATGTCTGTATGGTCTGTTCACAAGAAAGTGAATTTCTGTCCATTGGTTTCTGAAAATTTTGCAGTTACAAGTGATCGGGGGGGGGGGGGGTTATGATGGTCAGGCATTCTTTCATTCAAAGTCCACTAGGGAAAGAAAAAATCCATACTCCAACTAGTGCAGGCATGGGCAAACTTGGGCCCTCCAGGTGTTTTGGACTCCAACTCCCACAATTCCTAACAGCCTCAGGCCCCTTCCTTTTCCCTCTCAGCCGATTGCATCAGAGCTAGTTTAGATGTCTCATTGCAAATAGACTGAAAAACATGTGAATGCAGCCATGTATCACCAATCATGTTTACCTTCTGATAACACACACACACAAAGCACAGGAAATGTTAATGCTATGATAGACCTATATCGCCACAAAGGGCGACTTCTTCTAAACCGATGCTCAAAATATTGTAACATGTGACCCTTAGAACTCTTTACCTGGATGCATTAATGACATGGAGAACGAACCAGAGGAACATCATCAGAGAAGTTTTCTTAAGGCCGTTCGATGGTCTTCTTTTATTAATGTTCCAAATAACTTTTTCAATAAATGTTGCTTAAATGGAGTTTCCAGGCATCTTGCATAAACTGGGGATTAAAGACATGAGACAAAGATGATAGAATTTGCTCTAAATATTTTGGACTACCCAATAATGTCCTGAAATCCAAGCCAAGCCCTTGTAGATGATTGAAAATGAGCCCACGCTGCTGCTGCTGCTTACAATGGCAAACCCCACAAAGAAAGCTAGGAAAAGAAATAACCTATCTTCTGGTCATTGTAAATCATGAATTACTATTTTAGCCAATGGCAATGCTCACTTGCTCTGAATACATCCATGCAATACGGTTGAAATATTTTGGTGGAATGGTCTTTCTCTCATTTCTCTCCCCACCAATTTGAGGTATTTTTGGGAGAGCACATAATGCAAAGAGAAATGGTGCATAAATCAGTCCTGTTGCCTCCATTTCTTTTATGTCACGGGAAAAAGCGACAATTGATTTGGACTATTGCTTTAATGGAATATTGCTTCAGATTGGTCCATGTGCTTACGATACACAGTGCAGCTAACCCATTCGAGTTTTTCTTTGTGCGACTTGGGACACATTTTTGTAGGCGCTAAGTTATTAAATGTATGTTTGGTTTACGTGTATTAATACTTGTTGATAATGACCGCATTTGAGATCACTTCCTACAACAACACAGAAATGTTTGTTTTTAAAAGTTTATTTGTAAACATGCGTATTCACTATATTAATATGAATTTCTATCTGGGCAATAAAAAAAGATTCTATGTGAATGGCTTTCTCTCTTTGTCAAGTGTAAACACTGATCCAATACATCCTTAGGGGCTATATAGAATTTAATTGAATGCTCAAGGCCGGGATGCCTTCGGAATATCCCTCTTCTGAGTGTTCCTCCTGGATTGTACAGTTCTCTATTAATTTTTAAAGTTACCTTTATGCTTTATACTAATTATGTATGTACTAGTAGTGTATTATGGTATATATATTGTGATATAATCATATAGTACAATATAATAATATATAATAATATGGTAATTGTATATTATATATTACATATAATATTACTAGTAATATTGCAGTACAATGTGTTCTTATTTTTTATGTAGATGTGGATTCGTTTTTGGGATTTGGGGAGTTGGTTACTTCTGTCTTTGTTCAGCTTCTCACAGCACTGAATGTTTGCTGATATCTGCTGTAAACTGTCCTAAGTCCCCTTGGGGAGATAGGGCAGGATGTAAATAAAGTTTTATCATTATTATTATTATGCACTATAAATTTGCATAATAATAATAATGATAATGATAATGATAATGATAATAATAATAATAATAATAATAATAATAATAATAAATTCTGCTTTATCTCCCCGAGAGGATTCAGAATGCATTACAGAATACATATATGGGGAACATTCAATGCCGTTATATGATTAACAACAAAGACAGACAGTAAATAGACAGAGGCAAAGGCTTCCCTCTTTTTCATCTCCTGCATCTGAAGGCTGTGCTCAGCTCTGGCCATGAGGAGGTGCTGTTGTTTCATTTTCTATGCCGAGGAGCCTGTTGTCCATGGATGTCCTCCTGATCGTATTGCTGACATGTCTTCAGGGCGCCTTTTACCTCCCCACCAAAGTGGTACGTATTAATCTACTCACATTACTGTTTTCGAACTGCTAAGTAAGTGGGAGCTAGGGCCGATGGCGAGAGCTCACCCTGACCCATGGCTTTGAACTGCCAACCTTCCAGTTGGCAAGATTTTCTGCAGCTGGTAGTTTAACTCACTGTTCTACCGTGGCCCCTTTCTATGTCATACAGAATGCCTTTCTAATTGTGCCTCAGCTTCAAAATACAGAAGAGGAATTATTAATAAGTGGAGGCTATTCTTTCCAGGTGCTATTTTTTCCCCTTTAAAAAAGTGAAAAAGTGGTTCTTCAAGAGCCATTCTAAGACCTTTCTCAGAAAAAGAGCATTCCTCCTCTCCCATCCAGTTTGGATAATTCCCAATAGTTTTGCTTTATATTCTTAATCAGTGGTACAATGTTCCGGCATTCATAATGATGTCACCCATGGAGATTCCCATGGAGAATCCAAAAAGGCAGGGAGTTGTGTTGTTCATTGTTACAAAAAAGCATTTTCTAACCATCTCTGTCTCTATTGGAAAGCTCTTTTGTAAAGCTTATCTGTACCTTCCAATCAGTCCAAGTCCAAATACTTTGTAATATGACAGAGATCTCTCTCAATGCACTCCTGCTGGCAAAAAAAAAAAAGAAAGAAAGAAAAAAAAATCCACTCCAAGTCCCAGCTACTGTGAGAACTACAGTTCATATCCGAGGGCAAATTGAGATGGTAGAGAATGGATACAGAATAGCTTCGACTAAGCAGTGCCTTCCAACATACCTTTGTGAAAGCAGCATAACTCAAATAGGAAGCTAGCAACAAGGGACACTGTGTGCCAAGGAAAGAATAAATGCTATTTGCTCATAACAAGAAGTCGCTGGTGATTGGAGACATAGCTCAGGGCCACTGAGTCATATTACATGATTTTTGTCCATGGGTTCTAAATGTCATTTCCTAATTGGTTCTACTCCAGCAAAAGATCGCCGCCTTGTCAGGGCGCTGGAGCTTGAGCACCTCAATGATGTCATGAGCGAAACCGTGAAGGGACACCCAAGACGGGACGGTTGTGGCAGAGAGGTCAGACCAAGCGTGATCCCTGGGGAAGGCAATGGCAAACCACTCCAGTATCCTTGCCAAGAAAACTAAATGGACCAGTACAACCAGAGATATGTCGGTATGCCATTGGAAGATGGGACTCCCAGGTCGGAAGATGGCCAAAATGCTACTGGGGATGAGCAGAGGATAAGTTCAACTAGCCCCAGATGTGATGACGCAGCTAGCTCAAAGCCGAAAGGAAGGCTAGCGGCCGACGGACTGGAGGTGAACGACGAATCCGATGCTCTAAAGATCAACACACCATAGGAACCTGGAATGTAAGATCTATGAGCCAGGGCAAATTGGATGTTGTTATTGGTGAGATGTCAAGACTAAAGATAGACATTCTGGGGGTCAGCGAACTGAAATGGACTGGAATGGGCCACTTCACATCAGATGACCACCAGATCTACTACTGCGGACAAGAGGAACATCGAAGAAATGGAGTAGCCTTCATAATTAATAAGAAATTCGCTAAAGCGGTGCTTGGATACAACCCAAAAAATGACAGAATGATCTCAATTCGAGTGCAAGGAAAGCCTTTCAACATTACAGTGATCCAAATATATGCCCCAACCACAGCTGCTGAAGAAGCAGAAGTAGATCAGTTCTATGAGGATCTGCAGGACCTACTGGATAATACACCAAAAAGAGACATTATTTTCATTACAGGAGACTGGAATGCCAAGGTGGGAAGTCAAATGACAACAGGGATCACAGGCAAGCATGGTCTGGGAGAACAAAACGAAGCGGGACGCAGGCTGATAGAATTTTGCCAGGAAAACTCGCTGTGTATAACGAATACTCTCTTCCAACAACCTAAAAGACGGCTTTATACATGGACCTCACCAGATGGTCAACACCGAAATCAGATTGACTACATCCTTTGCAGCCAAAGGTGGCGGACATCCATCCAGTCGGTGAAAACAAGACCAGGGGCTGACTGTAGCTCAGATCACGAACTTCTTATTGCCAAATTTAGAATAAAACTAAAGAGATCAGGGAAAATACACAGACCAGTTAGATATGATCTCACTAACATTCCTAGCGAATATACAGTGGAAGTGAAGAACAGATTTGAAGGACTAGATTTAGGAAACAGAGTCCCAGAAGAACTATGGACAGAAGTCCGAGACATTGTTCAGGAGGCGGCAACAAAGTACGTCCCAAAGAAAAAGAAAACCAAGAAGGCAAAATGTTTGTCTGCTGAGACACTGGAAGTAGCCCAAGAAAGGAGGAAAGCAAAAGGAAACAGTGATAAGGGGAGATATGCCCAGTTAAATGCGCAATTCCAGAGGTTAGCCAGAAGAGATAAGGAACTATTTTTAAATAAGCAATGCATGGAAGTGGAGAAGACAACAGAATAGGAAGGACAAGAGACCTCTTCCAGAAAATTAGAAACATTGGAGGTAAATTTCAGGCAAAAATTGGTATGATAAGAAACAAAGATGGCAGGGACCTAACAGAAGCTGAAGAGATCAAGAGAAGGTGGCGAGACTATACAGAAGATCTGTATAGGAAGGATAATAATATTGAGGATAGTTATGACGGTGTGGTGAATGAATTAGAACCAGACATCCTGAGGAGTGAGGTTGAATGGGCCTTAAGAAGCATTGCTAACAACAAGGCAGCAGGAGATGACGGGATCCCAGCTGAACTGTTTAAAATCTTAAAAGATGATGCTGTCAAGGTGATGCATGCCATATGCCAGCAAATAAGGAAAACACAAGAATGGCCATCAGACTGGAAAAAATCAACTTATATCCCCATACCAAAAAAGGGAAATGCGAAAGACTGCTCAAACTTCCGTACAGTGGCCCTTATTTCTCATGCCAGTAAGGTAATGCTCAAGATCCTGCAAGGAAGACTCCAGCAATACATGGAGCGAGAGTTGCCAGATGTTCAAGCTGGGTTTAGAAAAGGTAGAGGAACAAGAGACCAAATTGCCAATATCCGCTGGATAATGGAGAAAGGGAGGGAGTTTCAGAAAAACATCTACTTCTGCTTCATTGACTATTCTAAAGCCTTTGACTGTGTGGATCATAATAAATTGTGGCAAGTTCTTAGTGGGATGGGCATCCCAAGCCACCTTGTCTCTCTCCTGAGGAATCTGTACAAGGACCAAGTAGCAACAGTCAGAACTGACCATGGAACAGGAGACTGGTTCAAGATTGGGAAAGGCGTACGGCAAGGCTGCATCCTCTCACCCAACCTTTTTAACTTGTATGCAGAACACATCATGCGATGTGCGGGGCTGGATGAATGCAAAGCTGGGGTGAAAATTGCTGGAAGAAACATTCACAACCTCAGATATGCAGATGACACCACTCTGATGGCCGAAAGCGAGGAGGAGCTGAGGAGCCTTCTAATCAAGGCGAAAGAAGAAAGCGCAAAAGCCGGGTTGCAGCTAAACGTCAAAAAAACCAAGATTATGGCAACAAGAATGATTGACAACTGGAAAATAGAGGGAGAAACCGTGGAGGCCGTGACAGACTTTGTATTTCTAGGTGCAAAGATTACTGCAGATGCAGACTGTAGCCAGGAAATCAGAAGACGCTTACTTCTTGGGAGGAGAGCAATGTCCAGTCTCGATAAAATAGTAAAGAGTAGAGACATCAGACTGGCAACAAAGATCCGCCTAGTCAAAGCCATGGTATTCCCTGTAGTAACCTACGGATGTGAGAGCTGGACCTTAGGGAAGGCTGAGAGAAGGAAGATCGATGCTTTTGAGCTGTGGTGTTGGAGGAAAGTGCTGAGAGTGCCTTGGACTGCGAGAAGATCCAACCAGTCCATCCTCCAGGAAATAAAGCCCGACTGCTCACTGGAGGGAAAGATACTAGAGACAAAGTTGAAGTACTTTGGCCACATCATGAGGAGACAGGAAAGCTTAGAGAAGACAATTATGCTGGGGAAAGTGGAAGGCAAAAGGAAGAGGGGCCGACCAAGGGCAAGATGGATGGATGGCATCCTTGAAGTGACTGGATTGACCTTGAAGGAGCTGGGGGTGGTGACGGCCGACAGGGAGCTCTGGCGTGGGCTGGTCCATGAGGTCACGAAGAGTC